CACCTCCTCCCCCTCCACCACCCCCACCTCCAGCACCACCTGCTTCTGGAGGGCCATTTCTGGTAAGGCCACTTTTTTCATTTTAATAGGTTCAACAAGATAAGTTTAGCCAAGCTAGTGCTCCAGCAGCAGTCAGAGCCTGAAATATTTAGGGGATAGCATTTGAGGAAAGAAGGTAGAGCTGTAGTTCTGTTGACTTATTTAAGGGAGGGGGGAGTGTGTGTGTAGCTTGTTCTATTGACTTTTTGCCCTTTTCTCATTTAAGGGGGGTGTGCTTCCCAGATCCAGGAGAGCTCATTTTTATATTGGTAATGCAGAGGTAGAGAAAGTATGTTTTTCCTTTCATTTATTTTGTTTGCATTGGCCTTGCTGTGTTTAATTTTCAGGTACTTTTCTTTCTGGGTCATCCCAGCTTCCTGGGGATACAACGTGATATACTTTTCTATGTTAATGTGAACGGTTAAAGCCTGTCCCAGATTGCCCAGTTGCGTGTCATCAAGTAGAACACGTGCCCTTGACAGCACATCTGCAGTGAGTGGGTGATGCTTGGCTAGATTTTCAGAGTGTTGTTATATTTTGGTACCTTCAGAAGTAATTATTGCATCCATGGTGATGCATCTTTGAGTGCTTTCTTGTATGTTGCAGTCACTTGTTCATGATCTGCTTTAGCCTTGAAGCTATGACCATTTTGAAAAGAATGAAGTCTTGTATATCCATTTGCAAGTGCCAGAATCTCTCTCGATTTACTCATACATGTCTCTGCTACTTTTGTAGTTCTTGCAGCGTACATTAGTCTATTATCTCAGTAGCAATACAGTTCCCAAGTCTCTTGGAAATAGAGGTTGACTCCTTTTATACTTCTGAGAATTGCCTCAATGATTCTGATATAAATATAAGCTTCAAATTTTGGAATGTCTGTTTTCTGCTTTGGCATCCAGGCCCATTTTGTTCTTGTGTGAAAGAGTCTGTCTTTTATTTGATAATGTTCCAACTTTATCTTCACCTAAAGAAAAATTACAGTGTACCTTCCCTACTTCAAGTTTTAAGGAGAGCTCTTGCATCAGTTTCACACGGTGATCAGGTTTATGCTGGCGATAAAGAACAAACCAGCCGTACCGCACTTAATTTGCCCCAAAAGCTTGATATCTTATTTATGTTGGTGCAACTGTGTATATAGAGGAGGTAAAGCTCATTTGTTTTGATAGTACTTTTATATTTCTGTTACCATTTCTATTCTTCAACAGCAAACTCAGCAGCTGTAGCAACAGCTGGACAATTTTAGCAGTTCTAGCAGGTGTAAGACAGATGCCAGGCTCTAGAAAATATCTTCCTAGCAAAGAGTCTATTGTAGCGAGTTGTTATGGATTCCCCAATTAACATCATTAACCATGTTAACTCCCTGCAGCTGGGGATCCAACTTTGACTTCGCATTTCATATCAGCATTTTGCTTTTGTAGACCTGGCTAGACAATAAGAAGGCTTAATGAAGGCTTCCTCTGTGATTCAGCTTGGAAATATTTCTTTCACTGTTGCAGAATCATATGCTTACTGCTTTATTCAAATTCCACTTTAAATAAACATTTTTACTTAGTTAAATCTGTACTTAATCCACTTTGGAGTTAAGGTTATTGTTTTTCATTGGATGGGAAGACGTAAGCAATTTGTGGTAACAGAACACATTTCTGGGTTAAAAAAAACTCTGTCTGGAAACAGGGTCTGCTCTGACTGCAGCTACTTTCTGAATGTTCCCAAGTTCCATGAATTTGCTGGCAATCAGGTTCAAAACTTAATGTTTTCAGGTGTCAAACAGGACTCTGAAGCATTGACGTGTTTCCTTGAACTCATTGGATAGAGCAGCATTCCATAATGATTACACTTCATTTTGGAGCTTATGTCACTGTTTCTGCCACCTTTCCCCTTTTGCACCACCCTGGTGAGAAACATTTCTGACTGCATTTTAAAAAAGGACCAGCTCCCAGTTAAAGAGCTGAGGGTATTGCCTCTTTCTGTTGGAGGCTGAATGGTAGGTTATTTTGATGCTCCCTAATGTTCTAGGAAAATACCTTTAGAGATGCCTCCAACTAGCCTAAAGCAGTCAGCTGGTATAGCTTGTGTGGAGACCAGCCCTTGGAAAGAATGCAGTTGTACTAACCCCATGTATTTATCTTTGTACATGAAACTACTCAGCTGTCTTGTTCCCTTTCCCTACAGGAAGTTGGCAGGCTAACTTTCAAAATAAGAGGAAATTGATATAATTGATATGGGGAAAATGATTAATCTGAAAGGGTCTCACATATGGAGTGGGAACTTACATAAGTGTTTCATTCTAAAAATTGTACCAGGATAATTAAACAACAAGTGAATTGTTCGTGTATAGGTATGCTTTGGCTGCCACCTTTATTGTCAGCTAATTCAGCTAAACCAGCAGAGAATAAGGCTGTTCACCTAATCAAATGAAATGGCATTTGTCGTAGAATCAATGAGGACAAGATGAGGCTAGAAAAGGAAATGGGCTTTGCTGCAAGGAGAGTTAACATGAATGGACTGAATGCAAGAGAAAAGAATAACAGCAAGGGAAAGAAGAAACAGAGACAGAGGAGAATAAAGATGTAACTATACTTTTGGAAGAAAACTGTGTAAATTAAATGCTGAATGCAGCAGGGTTGTGGGGTTCAGTTTTTGGTAGTAGAGGAGGTAAAAAGCTCAGAAGAAAGTATGCTTACAAAAATCCACTGTGTTCTTCCTCTTTTTTTTTCTGTCTGTCTGGCATTTGAGAGACTGCTGAGACATTACTCACACCCTAAGATTATCAGCCTACATGCCACACTTGCCCTGTCATTTGTCTGACATGGTCAAGGGGCCCTTACAAATGCAGTACAGCTAAAATAATCATGCTTCACCAATTTTATTAAATGTCACCAAAACTTTCTAGGGGATGTTAAGTTAGCCTAGCCACTTCCAAGAGAAGTGGTGCTGGCTCCTACCCTGGGGGTCTTAAAGAGGAGGCTGGATGAACACCTCGCCAGGGTTGTTTGACCCCAGTACTCTTTCCTGCCCATGGCAGGGGGTCGGACTTGATGATCTGCTCAGGTCCCTTCCGACCCTACCAACTATGAAACTGAAACTTCAGCTGTCAACAATATACCCTGCCTGGGGTAGGAGGAATAATTGTTACATTACCTGCTGTTCTCTGTGTTTATCAACATCTAAGATTAGTTTGTACTTTTCCACAATATAGATATTAATATAAGCCAGAATATTCAAAGTTTTTCCGTCTTTCGCTTTCTCCACACCCTGAGCTGTTGTTTGTGCTTGAGTCCCTTGCAATTTTAACTACGCTCTTGAAATACAAGAAAGCTAGATTGGTTATGCTGTTTTTAAACCTTTTGAGCTTGAAGACATTCTTTTATGAATGCTTTAGTTATTGTTGGGTTCTGCTTACTTCATAGCTTAGATTGTTATATTGCCCTTTCCTGTAATTTTATCGGGGCAAAATGTCACAGATAATAATGAAATGGTATGGAGATGGTATTCAAGGCATGCTAAGAACCACCTGTGCCTAACAGCTGAAACACTAATGGTTGCTTGAGTGTGAAGAAACAAATTTAAAGTGGATTTTCAAGGAGGAAGGAGAGGGCATGTGCAGCAGCAGATGTAGGTGGTTGAGTCAAAATGTAAATATAACTAATTGAATTAATTGAGCAAGACTGCAAATGCCTCATTTGAAGTGGCACAAGATAAAACTTAGAAGAGAGAGTAACAAGAAAGAGAAAGTGCTGGTATCTAGTTTCAAGTGCAGCCTTAAAAATCTCAGATATGGGCTCCTTCTTATAGAAAAGAGGTCATGGGTCATTTGTCCTATGGTGCCTCCGTTTTCTTGGAACAGATGCATCATGTAAACTTTCCAGTCAGCAGCATCTTTCTGTTTTTCTATTAAGGACACTTGTTCCTCCCTCCTGCCTCTAAGCTCCACACACCTTGGAGTGTGTCCTTTTAATTTGGTTGGGGAAAGGTTGTCATGTCAAAAACAGACCAGAACTGGAAAGGACTATAAAATGTGTGATTGTTAAACTCCCAAGAGAGGAACAAGATTAAGTATTTGGCTTTAATAATCCACTATATGTGTGTAAATTTGAATGGCAGTTGTTTCACTGTCCTGCTGCAACTGTCTATAGGCATGACTTTCTGATATTATATTCAATCGGCATCTATTAAAATATCAGTATTTTAAGAAGTATGGTATATGTTCTAGGCCTGCTGGAGGTTCTTATTCACAGCTGATGTTTGTTTAGTGATTCATACATTTCTGGAGTTTAAGCAAGTATTTCTAATCTTCTGAATCAATGTTGTTCCATATAATGAAGTCTCAGGATGGAAATGAACTGAAAAGTCACAGTGGTCTAATAATCAAAGCTAATAGAATTACCCCAAGAGACTACTTGGCCCATTATCATGTTAAAACCATTGTAAAAATTGTTCTTGCCCTAGAAATGCCTTTAGTTCGTGAAACGTAATCTTTGAAATAATGCTAAGTGAAAACTATCACATGGATTGATCGTATCTGTTCCTTATTCTTCCTAAATAAATTAAGGAAATATTTCAAGAGTTGGGGAACATATGCCAGTCTATTGATTTTGTTTAGTTTATATTGTACCCTTACTTTCTACTTTGCAATAAAAAAATACCTCACAAGAACAAGTCCTCTCTATATAACACTGTGATTAATACATAATTTACACTGAAATTAGAATTTCCAGCATTAAGGAAACACCAACTGTTGCCTGTAGCAAGGATTTTTTTCCTTCTCTTTCTGTGTTGCTGTGTTTTATCAGCATAAACCTTGTTACGCCTATTGAAGAAAATCAAGAAAGCTACATTTTTCTGAAGTACATGAATTTTTTGTGCTCATACTTTTGATTTGTTTAGAAAATAAACTGGATATGTAAAATAGCTTAGCTGAATAGCATGGTTACTTACTGGATTATGAATATCTTTGAACATCTTAAAATCACTTGCACTCTTCATTTTAAGATCTGTGCATTTCAGTGGTGGTATCCAATTC